AGAATGGCAAGCTAAGAGGTCCCCACAACAAACCGGCCGGAAGAGAAGGCAGGGTTACTTGGACCCTCTACCGTGGGGATAAGGCACGACACTAATTGCCGTTCATGACCCGCACTGTTATTTCGCCATCCGTGCCCGCGACCAGAAACCAGTTCTCTACAAGCGTGCAGGCTGTCACGCCAAGGTCACACACCGTAACTCCAGGGACGTGCGCAGGAGACACACGAAAAGAAAGCGTGGGAATGGACGCGGCGCGGACATGAACCAGTTATAAGTGCCACCCCCCCCCTCCCGCTACCAACCCCATTTAAGCATAGGCAACGTTTGCTGTTGTCTCATTTCCTCTGACGATGGCTTCTCGTGTGGAACCTAAAGCTCAGCACAATAAATTAATTGTTCCAGTGCTCGACTCGTCTCCTTCCTCATCCAAACTATATGACATATATTTAATAACATGCAGCAATGTATGGTTATCCTTTAACAGAAAATGTAAAGCTTGTAGTTTGGAAGCCCATAATTTGACAGCAAATCGAATTTTAAAATTTTTCGCAAATTGAAAAAAAAAGTATTTTGAAACCCGGAGCTGAAGAAGTAATTTGCCAATAAATGAGCATAATAAAGAATATTTTAAGCATGCTTTTTAAAATATCTATATTTAGCTATCCCATCTGCGCTGATGCCAAAGATGTTGGCGCGCACGTACACGCCACGTCCTGATGACCTTCTCTTTCGACAGGCAGACAACTCACTTCGCCAGCGCAAGTACAGCGCCTACCCCCGGGTCGTCCTAACATTGTACAGCCAGCAGAGCCAAGTGCGCGTAGGAGGAGAGAGGGAGTGCGTTAGGTGCTGTGAAAGTCTGTCCCATGATGAAATACAACAGGCGCAAGTGGCTGGTGTTGCGCTCATTTTATGAGGCATGGGGTGCACGTCGTCGCTTCGGACGATCGGTGTAACACAAACAAAGCGAGGGGATCTATGCCCAAGTTTAAGGTGGTAATGGCACTGGGTTTTCCACAGCCACAACAGGCGGTTAAGGGCTTACCCAGCAGACAAATCAAAGACCTTGTTGGCCGCTGAGACGAGACAGTCCTCCAGTGTGTCTAGGTTTAGCTCCTCGGTGTATTTTGCGCGGAAGAGGCGCGGATGCCTATTGCGCTCAGGAATGAAGACAGCGAGCATCCTGTTGAGAGCATGTCCCAATCGTTTTCGTGCATTTTCTACTTGCTGATTAAAAGAAAAGAAGATGGAGGGAGGGAGGGGGTAGATAAAGTTAGGCTGGTGGCAAGACAACCATGTTGCATGCCTACTGACAAAAGCGTGATAGTAGAGCAAATATGTGTTCTCCTCCGACGACGACAGATGCGGATGAGGTGTCGTAAAATTACGATACAGGTCGAAGTCTGCTGGGCGCACTGAAAAACCGTTTCTAACTAGAGAGGGCACGTATAAACACGGAGCTGCGTGGTTTAACACAAAATACGTACGACTTATTGACAGCTGTAGTTAGTTTACGCAAGTTTTGGTAGTAGTCGCACGCACGCACACGCGCACAAAACATCCTGTCGATGTAATAAACGTCTGGATCGGCAATTCTGGACGTCTTGCCTTTTTGTTGTACTAAATGGGAAGGACATAAATCGATGCCGTCTGAGCAGTCGAGAAGCTTAGCTGCTAGGCACTTTCACTTCAAGAAACGAGCTGATTTGCTGTGGGGGGTCTTGATTAAAATTTTCCAAAAGCGCTTTTCGTCAAAGGACTGTATTTGTAGCATTCAGCCAAACAAACCCAAAGATAGAGGGTAACAGTGAAAGTCTACAGAAGCGTACCAAAAACTATAAGTTGCGACCAAGCTGACAGACATCCCCTTGGCAAAATTAATTATCTTAATTCAGCAAGCGTCTGTGGCCTAAAAATATGAGTAGGTAGACCCTTACAGCCAAAGTATTTTAAGCAGGCTAAGGGATAAGGAAAAGGCCGTGGAGTACTCAAAAAAAACAAAAGGAAAACAAACTAAGTTGGAGAATGTGAGGGCAATGTGCTGTATATGACAAGAGTAGCACTGTGAGACTTTACTGTTGGAACAAGACATGCCATATTCCTAAGTGCTTGAGAAAAAGTTATGCGAAGAACGTTTTGCATTCAAAGAATCTAGTAAATCAGACATGTTGACTTACTCCAAAGTAACAGTTAATTTCTGGAGAGATTGAAAGCCGACACGCCAAACCTAGACTATTTACCAGAAATCCCGTCAGGGACGCTGTGTAACCCAATGAAAAGCCGAACCCCTCACAGTCGTGTCCTGTCGAGGCGGAACATATCTGGGCTTTTAGCTGGCATCTGTACTGTCAGTATCAGTGCATATATACAATATGTCTACACAGTTCTATACCTCGGTTCTTCGATAGAGTGGAAATAGATCAAGCTGCAGTATTTTGCAAGTCGCCAACACAACATAATATAACATTACACGGTTCCTCTGAATATTCTAGACGCGAGTTGGCGAAGGCAAGGGTGTAAGTGGTCAGGTCATGTACGTTGTAATTAGACTGGAAGTAGTGTTGGCCCTAGGCGAAGGTAAACTTTTGTTTCCTTTATAAAAAAATAAGTAGGAGAAGTTACCAAATACCCAACAACCCCGACAATATCCGATTACAACTGCCCTTAAACCAAGCGGTAGAGACAATCCTATGCGCATAGTTTATCATAGTTGGACGTCTAGACAGAAGTGAGGACATAGTCCTAGACCTAACGTCCTAGAAGGTAATGCGAAGTCGAGAAAGCCAGCCAACAAGTAGCAGCTGGTTCCCATGAAGTACGGGAGACTCAAAATGATGTCCCGATTCTACTCCAGTGATACATACGTCTACGTTAGATTACATTTAAAGGCATAAGTCCTAAAGGATGCCAAGACTGATCGCTAGGAGAAGAGGCACCGTTGAAGAAGAAGAAGAAGAAGAAGAAGAAGAATGCGTCTCCATCTAGCAGAATGTGTAGACTACGGGGCCTCACCAAAAGGCGAAAAAAAACGTCCGTCAAAGGGCGGTCAAAAGTTCTCACATCACGTATTCCGATCGCTCACTACTCAAACAGCAAGGCGGTTGGAGGTAGCACATTTTTCAATCTATGGCCGAGTGCGCAAAATGTGCAATGAGGAGCACTTAATAGGACGAAATATATAAGCATCCTATTAGAGCTTGCCAAATTGTGAGTGAAGAGCTATTTGTTGACAAGGTCCGCAATGTAATAGTATGTCATGTTCCGGGAACGCGGAAAATAGCCTCTGAGTGAAACTCTAAAAGCCGACAACATCAGAGAGCGCCCTCATAATTTAAGTATGTTTTACAAATACCAGCAAATTTTATTGTTGTACACTTCTCAAGCTTAAAAAAATTATCAGGCCAAGTCGGACTACAAGCATCCGGAGATTTTTTAGCATAAATTAGTCCATTCACATACCCAAGTAATGCAGATTAATGTAAGACAGCGAATTATAATAACTTTGTAGTTTTCCGCAACAAATAAATAGCACGGGTTGGCAAAGGGTGGATGGGTATCCCATAGTGCCAAAAAAAACAAACTGCGCATGAACGGCATGCATTACGTAAAGCTTTATGTTAGCAGCCATTTTTGTAATATTGGCCTAATTAAAAGCCAACGGTGCTTACCTGGGCAAATACAGGACTTGAATCAAGACGGCAGTTTTGGGACTCTATCAACTGCGACTTCGTTGACTCGTGATAGAAAGTACGAACTACTTCCTCCATTTGCACCGCGGGACAGCACAAAAACACCCCGGCAGGAAATATTCTAAAAGGGCACGATACATTTGAGAGCACTTGTGAAATGAAAAAAAACACATACTATTCAAAAGCCTACGAACATTTTCTTATCTACAGTATCAAGTAACCGCGGGGTATTCAGTATACCAGTCTTTGGGTTCTTATCTGTACTCACTTTTACTCGATACGGCTGTGATCATGCCTGATATACCCGACCTTACTGATGTCAGGGATGGTACCTTTCCGCAAGAGATCCCTTATGACCATTTCTACTTTTACGGGTTCTATAAGAAATTTGATCGCCAAACTCTAGTTGACAGCTTCGCCTAACACTATAGGATTGCGTATAAATATAGCTATCAGCAAATTAATGAGTTCCATTTATACGTTCGAACAGAAAACCACTCGTAGCTTTTAAATACGTGATGTTTAAAAGATCTAATTCTAGTAAACAGTAGCATAAATTGGGAAACAATTTTTTTAAACGTCCTCAAACGTCAAAAGTTCAGGAGTTCTGTTCGATAACCACGAGGTGCTCGACTCATCAGTGAAGCCAAACATTCAGAACACTCCAGTCCAATGCAATGGCCTTTATCGAAATTTTATACTGTCAAGCAGGTGTGCACATAATAATAAGTGACGATTAAGCATACATTTACAAGCCCTAAGGTTAATAAAATTCAATATTTGTAAAAGATAGAGCGGTATGGCACAAAGGAGAACAGTCATATAAATGTATCCTTGTTTTAGCCTAAAAGTAAGAGCATGTAAGTCCGAAAGCGTTTGCTATTCAGGATAACTAAACTCTGGAAGGTTCCCTTGAAAAGACTAGAGGGGACAAATCTTAAATTCCTCGAAATATATACCGAAGACATTGGAAAAACCCCTAGGTAGTATCACCGACAGGATAATGCAAATATTCAAAAGAAGAATGCGTGCTACTATCAGAAAGGATAAATCATACGTATACTAGAACGCAACAAGCTGTCAGACTGTAATGATTTGCGCAAGACCTACCACAAATGCAAGACAAAAAATTAAGCCCAGCGAAACAAAATTAACCGCCTGAACTATAAACTGATTAAAATAACGGAGAAAGTACTCAATATTAGCTGCTATAATACATGAAGTAGAAGCCAAAAATCCTGAAAAGCATAATTTTAAATATGCTTAGTGGTTTATTTAATGCACTGCTTTTGCACAAAATTCATGCCCAATGCAGTGAATCTCCGAAAGATAATTTCTACCCTACTGATTATAAGAAATTGAAAATTGCCGAACTCTAGTTGACAGCTTCGCCTAACACTATAGAATTGCGTATAAATATAATAATCAGCAAATCGGTGATTTCCATTTATACGTTCGAATAGAAAACCACTCGTAGCTTTTAAATGCGTGATGTTTAAATAATCTAATTCTAGTAACCTTCCGAGTTATCAACAACTCGCCCTGAATAACTATGTTTTAGGGGTTTCTTTGCTTTATCAAACATGATGGTA